ATGTCCAATTAAATAAATAAATGTCAGCACATTTCATGGCTCCTAGAACTCTTGCCTTTCATTTTCAAGTACTCTTTAAGTCATTACACAATTTCAGTGACCTACCAGACAGAAGGCTTTCGTAGCCCTTACGGTGCACTAGCGGCATTGAGGAGACCCAGATCACTTCTGATATGCGCGAAGCTTTTGCGTCATGCATTCTCACTCCCCCATGTCCTTATCCTCCATATCCTTACTCCTTAGACCTTGAAAGTGTACAGAACAGTTTTACTCGTAAGTTAATGCTCAGATACAGCGTTTCTCCCTTTGTGGGAATCCCAACTTCGCTTCCTTTCGTTTGCTTCCCTACGATTTTTGTGAAGCTTTCAAATGTTACAGCGCCTAGTGTCTGGAAGAGTGCATCTCTTAGGATTTCTCGGAAGAAGGATCGCACTGACCGAAGCGAGGGCCCAAGCTCGTATATGCAGACTGTTGTTTTTAGCGATGAGTTGAAAGGATGGAATGAATGTCGGAATAATATCTTCTTTCGTTTCCGATGTAATGCACACCCCATCTACCGGCAGCCTTCTCTGCACTAATTTCTGGTATGGCATGGATTAGGGGTGGGGTAAGGTGGGTGAACGTCGATCCTTTGATTGAGGGGATATTGGGTGGGGTGGGGTGGGGACAGTTGCGTTCTGTTTTTCTTTCAGACCATGGTGAGGAACAATCCGGAAGGAAGATCAGACTTCCTTTTTCGTTGGAAAGAACATCATCAGACATTACACACTGCCAAGTATAATCCACATAAAAGGTCCAACAAAGGGCGTTGCGGCAACGGCTTCCGGTCTCCTCACATGTATACGTCTCTGACTCTCTTTCGTCTGGATCCTCGCTGCTCTCGCCACAACGCCTCTTGCTGTCCTTAGATATAAACACTACGTCCTTGTGACATAGAGCAGCACTGAGTAACCTTCGATTAACCTCAAAATTTCAGAGAATGATGTATTCTCAAATTCGTTTGGTACAACCAAAAGAGAACTGTGGTGTTGGGAAATGTCGATTTGCCGGTAAAGAACACGTTCATTGTACTCAACGGAGGTGAGGCCAACAAGTGTGAATATGGGGTTTAATACGAGTTCTAGGGCGTTTGCTTTGATTGAAGGCCGATGTGGTTTTTGATCGAGACAGAAACCGATAGTAATGCACGTGCCAGTCAGGTTAATGCCAGGGAGAAACACTCTACCAGTCGGTGTTTGTCAACTGGTTGAGCAACATATAGCGTAGATATGGCAAGAGGCTGCCTCCTAGATAAGCTTATTGCTGGATTAGTATTCAGGGTGATAAATAAATAAATGAATAAATAAATAACCAAATAAATAAATGACCACGGTTCAGTAAGAGCATTTAATACGGTGATTTGAGCGCAATGCTATCGCTTTTTTGTTATGTTATACCAGTTAAGCGGAATATTTGACCCAGCCACGAAGACCGACCTCTCGGCCCGCCTCCCCGCCACAAGGCACAATGGTAAGTCTCGGGGCGGGTCGGAATCCCGATTTGCGTGACGTACGAAAGCATCGTTGCCGTAAATGACTGGCAATGCACGGCATTTGGCTCCCAATATCTAGCATTACTTCCCAGTCGCGGCAAGGGTCAAGGGCAACGGAAACACGTTGCAAGCGGTACATAGGCGGAGGGGTCGCGTACGCGACATTAGCACCAAGGCCCGGCCCACTTAACGTAGCAGCACTGCGTTAACTCTCTCTCTGCGTTTCTCAAGCTGATTAGGTTTAGTCAAACTAGCTAGGAAATACTTTGCTAGTGCGTGCCATGCCGCGACTTGAAAGTGACGCTCAATATCCGTTTCTCTGAATGTCACGACAACTCAATGTTTCGAACGCGCTTCCTGATCCGCTTTGCCCCCTGATCCCTTCCGTAGAGATGAGGCGAGAGTAAAATCTTTAAATTAGTCATGATTCTTTGGTATGGGGTGATGGAAGGAGAGTCATGACATCAGTGGTCACGCATTCTACGAATTTAACTGTACGCTGCAAGCAGCATTTTAGGTGCCATTTCTGTGCGGACGACGACTTGATCATAACGAATCATGCTGTGGTGTTCCATGCCGGTCTGGCTCCTCCAGCTCATGCAGAGTTCTTCCATATTGGTACCTATTCATGTAGCGTTTCAAGTTCTGCAGTCTAACTTTTGCACATAATAGAGTGTCAACTACCTCCTTGGTCTGCCATATGCGAGGTAAATGGGTCCGCAGCTGCAGTAGAGTGTTTCTTTCTCCATTCAGAAGAACGGGGCTAGAGGGTAGTGATCTTTGGTTGCCTTCTCTCTTACTCCGCTCATGCTGCCGCATGCTAGTCACAACATCTTGACCATAAGCCAAAGCAGCGACACACGTTGCGCACTCTCACTTCTGGCTGTTCTTTACCTCTGACTGCGCGTTCGCTGCGGGATTCACATATCAACGCAAGTGCCGCACATTGAGGATAGCACGAGCGGAGAACGGACACGGCACCTCTCTACCGCTATCCTCCAGCCCCCTTTTCGTGTACTTTCAAGCTAAGAAAGTAGCGCGCAAATGCAGCTGTGAACCCAGTCCCCTCGCATATGAATAGGATCCTCCTCGGGGGTGCCACCCCATTGCTCTCTTAGCCTACATTTTGCAAAGTCACTGCCACATTTATAAGGTGTTTTTAAGATTCAAAGTGCCGTTCGCAACAGGTCGAAAAGCCATTAAACAGCTCACTCTTGACCACTGTCTGCACCGAATGCCCGTTGGATGGAAAGAAATCTCATTATCATTGCATTTATTGCGATAAGGTCAGTATATGAAAGATTACCCTTGCAGTTACCACTGAGTTGCGGGGTACAAAAGTCAGCTGAGAGGTGGGTCATGGCTCTCTCCTCGAGTCTGTGCCACGTCGCTTCACTGGTTACTATCTGGCAGAGGGGACGGAGGTAATCAGAAAATGAGCATGATGGCTTTTTTCTTGCAGAAACCCTTCTTCCCTCAAAAAAAATTTAGCTCTAGTTTTCTTCTAATGCCTTAGTAAAGTCTATGAATTCACGAGCACTTTCTCGAAATCGAAGTAGCATCCTGCTGAGACATGCCGACGGTTGCAGTTGTATAATGCTACGAAAGGAGTAAGTGACTTAATCGAGAACAACGAGTTATCAAAATTCATTTTCGCAAGCCACTGAATTTTCGGTGAAGAGGCTAATGCCCGAGGTTAGGCCACCCCATTCCCTGCTCGTCTGTTCCCTCATTGGCAAAAATCAAACCTCACAAAGCACTCTTCCCGCTCCCGCCCATTATTAACACCTAACTTTTCGAGCGGAATTCAACCTGCAGTTTACCTGGGGCTATCATAATTCCGAATATTGGTGTCCGGATTTCAACATGATCCTCGGTTGCTTCACAATGGCTGTTCAGATGTGCCTGAGGCCGTTTTGTAAGCTGAAGAAGAAAACTCTTCATTTCCACTGTGCTGTGTGTGATCAAGGCTTTTCTGAAAAGAGTAAGCTCCGCCTCCATTCTCTGAGACATGGGACCTCTGTGACCGGCCAAGGGTGAGTTTATGCCCTGTAACATTGTAAGGCAGCGTTCAGACTTTGCGAGCGGCAGCGCTTCTATCGCGCGTTCGACGCGATCGATGCACATGCCTCCAACTGTCATCGGCGTGCTTGAACGCGCAGCCAACCGTAACCGCTGCCGTCGCGAAGTCTGAACAGCTGCCGCGATTTGTGCGCGATATCGCTCCTTAAGTATAATGATGTACACCCCCAAAGCATTAAAACACTTTTGAGGTATAACTGACAACGATAAGCACTACTAAAAGAATTTCAGTGCTTCTAAGCGTACCTTCCTGTGTTACACGAAGGTCTTCAAGAGACTGAGATGTGTCGAAAATCATGCTCAGGTTCGTTCACGCTTAATTAGAAGTCAACTTGTTGCTCTCACACTCATACCTCTACAGTGCAGTTCTCAGCGGACGGTGGGGCGGTCCTAAGGCCACGCTGGCGAGCGGCCCGATAGTGGCCTATTGGTGGAAAGCCGCAAAAACCTTTCCTCTGCCTCTCTGATACTGACTCTGCGCTCTAACACACACCGCCACACAATCTACTCACTCTTCCTTTCTGCACTCTCGCCGATCAATAATCGCTCTTCGACAGCTGATTCCTGTCGCATTTTCGCAGCTTTTTGCCAGATTCAGCTCGTTAAAGCTGAAATTTTCCGACTTTCGATTTCAATGTTTGAAGGTGAGTATTCGTACTGAAATTATTTCTCATTTTGCATGAGTTTATCACGAAATTTCCCTAGAAAACTTGTTTCACCTTCTGTTTCGCAAGTTCTCGAATTTTTTCTTGAATGTCCTTATTTCTTTTATGCGATAGTTTCAGTAAGAATACTCACCTTCAATCACTGAAGTCGAAAGTCGAAAAATTTCAGCTTCAACAAGCTGAATCTAGCAAAAATGCTGCGAAAATGCGGCAGGAATCAGCTGATCGAGAGCGTCAGCAATTATCGATCGTAAGAGTCCAGAGCGGAAGAGTGAGTAGACAGCGCGGCGGCGTGTGTTAGAGCGCAGAGTGCAGAGTAAGAGACGGAGAAGCAATGGTGATAATTTCCTGAAATTTTCGCCCTTCCATCGACACGCAATCACCGGGACGCTCGCCAGCGTGGTCGTAGGACGCGCCCACCGTCCCGATGAGCGCTCCACTACGTGTTTATTAGAATTTTTTGTAGTGATATCGTAAAAAAATCGCGAGCTTCAGGGGCTTTCATTGCCCACCGCTCCGGAATAGCTACTGCGCAAAGCGACATAGAAAGATCTAGCTACATATGAAAATCAGCTACTTGTCTACAATCTCAATAGGGGTGGAGACGAGCCTTCCATAACTATTCTGTTCTCGTTGATGCGCCCTATTTTTCTAGAACCGTGAAAAAGGAGGTACTTCGAGGAAGGCGCAATATCACAATATTAATCCTTACTCTACTCAGCGTACATCAGCATGGATTGCACCTCTGTGAGAAGAAGCGGCTTAAAGATACTGCACCAATTCAAGTTCGATAACAGTCCTTGCAAACGAGATGGCGTGCGAAGGGGCGAGAACTGGTGCGGGGCGACAGTCTTGTTCGTTGCGGATGAAGGGGCCCGTTAAGGGGGACATGTTTGAACAACGGCTAAGCCCGTTCTGCGTTTATTTTTCCTCGTCACCTGTATCACTACCCTTATGTGTCTGCGTGTCTCTCCTTGTTCCAGCAGTTGCTGCGCTCATCGCTCCAACGAGTGCTCAAACAACGACTGGCAAGCAAGCCAAATCCAGCTTCACGGACACGTTCCATTATCCAAAGCGAACAGAACAGCAGCCCTTTCCACCAACTGCCATCCTGAGCGCGCAACAACTGGGCGAGAAGGCTGCCATGTCTAGCTGCAATCTAGGCCCCTTCACACGCGATCATGCCGCCACGTCCTTTTCAGGGATAATGGCTGTACCTTGGATTGGATTCGTGACGCGCTCTAAAACGCCATTGAAATCACGAATACCACTATGCACATGGTCTTGCCAAAGGAAGCGACTAGGTTATTAAATACCAGTAGGATTACCCAGCTGCCGCCCGGGTGCTCCTCATTCTGTTTTCAGCGGCCCGAGGGCCCTACCTGGCCTTCGCCAGGCGCACTATTTCCCGTTGAGCCGAGGTATATATAGAATGCAACTAATGGTGCCGAAAGCGACATTATTTTTTTATCGAAAATGAAGAAAAATGAGTTGAAAAAATAGCTGAAAACCAGTCCATTATCTACCAAAATATGGTCCCTCTTGCTTACTATAGACTTTCAACCGTGAGAAGGCTGCACCATATAATTAAGGATTGCAGTTGCGACATCAGAATGGGTAGAGTTGAACCAGTCGGATGAAAGTCTTAACACACGGAAGGATGACATAACTGAAACAGTCATGGCTGGCACAGAAAAAGAAGAACTTCCTATTGCCGTGTACATATCAAAGTGTTTGTCACGGAATAAGCTCAAATGTTAAGGCGATAGGACGGTCAGCCAAAACTCGAATGTTATGGGTTCCTCATTTATTATTGTTTCAATTGCGCGGAGCACCTCATAACACATTACCATAGCAGGAAGATTTTTCGAAATTTTTTTGTGATGAATTTCTGGCGATTCCCCGTTTCAGCCGCATTATATAGCTCCCTCGCTTCACACCGTTGCGTGGATCTAAAACAAATACTCCAACGGACGACCTTGATTCTGGTGAAATCGCGACAGCACCTCATAACACATTACAAGGAAAGAGTCCACACATTGAGCCTCTAATACTCGGCATTATAGTGGTAAGAAGTGATAAAAATGCAGCGCAGATGGTATCTTATCCGTTTTTATCGATTGACAAGATTACCTGTCACCCGTCAATGTCCTCATCACAAATCTCTATGATTTGGTAGCGTGAACCATCTTGAACAGCGACGACGACTGCAACTTCCTAAGCCCCAGTCAGCTAGTTATCGCTTCCAGTCACCCACGGTTGATGTCCCCGTCTCACCCTCTATATCCACTTGCTGAAACGCATGCCTGCTGATGCTGTGACCTGCGCTATATAAATGTGCGACCTCACCATTCTAACGCCCCTTATGGAATATTATCAGCAGCTTACAGTTCTTGTCACCCACCAATAATGCTGGTGGCCCATACCCTGTATCATATCTTTGGAATGCATGCCTATACTGGCATCTGTACCCGCGTTATGAATATGGTAACCTCCATCTTCTAACGCCTCTTATCGGATCTTATCAACTGATATCACTTCCTGTCACCCACCAATAGTGTTTCCCCCGGTACTACCTCCTACCCACTCACTATTCTTGGAACCCAATGTCTAGCTGCTGTTGGGACCGGCGCTATGAATTTCGTGACAGACAGACAGACAGACAGACAGACACACACACACACACACACACACACACACACACACACACACACACACACACACACACACACACACACACACACACACACACACACATGACGACACACACATACGAACATAGCCGATTATATATAGTAGGATAACAATTATATTCAGTGAACATATTCAGTTCAGAATAATTTTAAATTATAAAATTACCAGGTATATCGTATTTTTCAGAAATGTGCAATAAAATAAGTGAATTTCCAGAAAAACGCCGCGGAGAGTTCGTCAGCCGTGACTGTTGAATCGTCCCGGAAAAACACTGGCTGATTATTCTTCCGAAAAACCGTCCAACGGAGACGACGACTGTCTCCCTCTGGATTTGAGCGTTCCTAAACTTTCCGCCATCAAAGTGTCTTCCACGGCTCCTCTGACTTCGACGTTTACGGAGAAATTACCTTTTACTCTCAGGAGGATCACATTCTCTTTGTAGCGCAGTCGGGCACCAGAACTACTCCGATCATTGTCACACTGATTTTTGTGCATAGAATGTCTAGTTTTCATTGAATAAATCATTTCTCAAAAATCAAATGGCACCAGGGGTTCAATAAACTTTAATGTAAAGTCAACATGTCATGATAAATTAAATTCAAATAGGTAAATTAATTTAAATTATGATGTTCAGCAGACTCAAGGCTAAATTCTATTATTTCCAAAGGAAGTCCCATTTCCAAAAAATAATCGTATGATCTATACTCTAGTTCGCTGCAGATGAAGGGGCGTGTCAGGCAGTATGAGTGTGCCACGGCGCCAAACCCGTTCTCTGCCAGTTGCTGAAGCGGGTATGCGACAACAATTGGTAGAAGACGACTCCCACGAACGACCATACACTGTTGTCGCCTGCTCGCTCCTGCAAGGTCAGGGTTTGGCTCCACGCCAAACTCATCCAACGTCAAACTTCATACTCATTACGGTACGGACTCGCATATTTTACAGGGATCCTAGAATCCGTATCGAAAGCCAGCGCGTTTTCTTCAGTTCTATGGTCAGAGCTGGTCGCCTTCTCTAGACCCCTATCCCATTTACGACCGTAAAGTTCACCCCGACAGGGCTAAATAGCAGGTAAGCGGGTCGAACTTCAGCTAATAGCTGTCTGATCCGTTCGAAATTGCCCTCATTTGCTCTTTAACGATGTGTATATTGCGATGAGCAGTTGCTATTGGTGAACAGCTGACGTGAACGAACACAGACGGAAAATTGTTGTCGATGACGGCAATACAACAAAACGACAACATATGTGATCAAGGACTGATATGACACGTGATGTCCTAACCCTAGGCCGAAGAGGTCTCGTCGGGGCAGAACTGAACTCATTCCCGGGGAACTTATGTGGTAGTTCCTTGATGCCGAACTGGAGCACGCCATCACGATGAAGAAAAATGGTCGTTCACTCTGCTCTCTCACCCCCGACCGCGTTTCAACCACCAGCCCGCACTGTCCAGTCCTTCAGAGTCCTCCTTTTCTTATCGTCATTACGCGGTGCCGTTTTGTCGGACGGTAAGGGGGGATGCATTTTTCCTACTATTGTTTCCCTAAATCCAGTTTAGCAAATTCTACTCTGGTAAACGTTCGTGAACGCTCGTGAAGTTT